GTGACTTGCGCTACCTTAGTATCTCCAGTCTACCGTTGGACTCACGGTCATCTCGATGTTGAATGATTATACTTCATTTTGTCACATTTGAAAAGTTATGATAATCCTTCATTCGGGGACGAGATCGTGCTGGATTCAGCTATGTCCTTCGGTATTCGATTCCCTGTGGCCGAGTTTGTGCCCGCAATTCCAGTGGACAGCGGCATATCTCAACGCGATATAACCATTGAATAAAAACTAACCGGAAGGCTTTGTTCGCAGTGAATGTACAATTACGAAGAATGTGGATGAAACAGGGTACAAGGTTTATGCAAGGACAACCAAAAAAAAAAAAAAAGCAATTGAAATCCTCCAAGTGTAAAGTTTTTTTAAATGTAAAATGCATTTTCCACGCGATCCAATATCATCCGACCCCTGTTCGCTGTACACCGAAAAATTTGGTTTTTTTGCAAAAAAATTGAAAATTTTGTAACATCGAATTTTCTTTTTTTGTAATAGCGTTCGCACTTGAGACGTGCGAATTATTTGGGTAACCATAAGTTTCAGTCAATCGAAAAGATACCGAGATTTCGTGACGGTGCATTTTCTTTTATGTCGTTTCTGGTCAAGGACTGATCGCAAAGCAAAATGCCATGGTCAAATGTTATAATCGCCCTTCTTTGCTGTTTGCTTGCCATGCAAACCTGATTGTGGCTAGACAACAATTACTCTTAGTTTTATTGGGAAGGATTCGGCTTTTACAGATCATGGAGACTTTAACTCAGTTGCTCAAAAAACGTCGACGCCTGTAGAATCCTGGTTTGAAAACGTAACTTCCCTGAAGCCTTTTTCCGTAGACATTTGAGAATGGGGAGAGAATGGGGAGAGACATTTGAGAATGGGGAGAGTCATTCGACAACTTACTAAGGCGACGTTCAATTACGAAATATGATGACCAGTTGAAGGGTATCTGTCAAGGGACAATAGATTTTCTCGCCCGAAAAAAATATTGTAGGCCTCCAAACGGCTAGTTGACGGCATCTTTGAAGTTTGGTGGCTCTTGCGAAAATTTTGGAGGGTCAAAAAATCGTTCGCACCGAAAATGATTTCGCGTTGACAGCCGGATTTTTTTTGCCAACCAAACAAAATTTTGCGTAGTGCGAACAGGCCCTAAGATCAGATTTATTTATTATTCCCTCATCAGTAGTATAATAATGTACATCCTGCGCCGATTACGTAAGTGGAAGTCATTACAAAGTTTGACAAGCGATGACGTGTCATTGATGCGTCACATTCCTTCATCGGAAAATTGAGACATACATAGGTCTGTTGGTGTTCTGGTTTGATTTAAGTTAAACGGCATTTCTGTCACAAAGCAGCGACATGATCACGCCTTGCGGTAAGCATAATGAACCAACCTGGAGCGCTACCAGATACTCCTGAAAAAAATCCCATACAAAGCCTTAGAAAAGTTTTCCAAGGCTTTGTATGAGACAATGGGAGGTACTTACAGTGCACGCGTTTTGCGTCCTGTCGTGATATGGTCCATCACTCCAGTCTAGTTTGATTTTGCATCTAATTTCTTGATGAAGGAAAATACTCATCGGGTTTTTTAAATGGTTCATTTTAAAGTCACCGAGACACATATCATGCATACTTTCTCCGAGGGAGTTTTAAATTATTTACTATTCTTAACTCGCCACTGCTGCGACAGCTTGATTTCCACTTTGAAAAATCGAAGCTAATTTCATTTTCATTTATGCTTAATATACCTAAGGAATGTATTTCATATATTTCTACTTTAAAAGCTTGTAGTAATGAAACAACACAGGAAGGATCGCCATTGAAGAGAAAGTTGTAGTTTTGACTTTGGTTGCAATTCTTCTGCTTTGATAACTGCTGTAGTTTCTTTGGATGCGTACAACTTATTAATTGATAGAGTTGAATCATCGATTTCAACGAAACTATTAGAGCAAACGGAACGATGAAACCAAAGTACAATTCGATTGTAACAGAGATGACATGATTATTGAAACGTCGGTCCTGATTCAATGAAGGTATATACATTTCCTAGGATGGAATTTGCAAGTAATAAGTGCAAATTGCGCTTTGGCTTTTATTTTGACCCGCGAAATGAACAATTTTCGCATAAAAATTCCGTCATGTGGGCGAGACAAAACAATTGCAGTGTATCAAGAAATGCAAAAGAAACAAAAAAGAGTGAAAGGTATAATATGACAACTCAGACGAGCATAGCAAGTCTTGCTTGATTTGTGCGCAGCGTTATTCGAATCAAAATAGTGTTAATAGTAATTTGCACCATGCAGGACAACATAAGGTGTTTCCCATGCCCTCATGTTTATTTGGGAAGAATCAAGAGCCCTGGAAAAATGACTTCAGTGTTTTCCCTGGACCCTTCCCGACTTAAGTGACCAGCCAAGCAATCGTCACACAATTTTAAGACGAGATTATTCATTTGAAGGAACTGTGCACTCACGTGGACGTAATGGAGCGGAGAGGCTGTTTTACGTCAGAAATCAACTACTGTTGAGACCACTGTTTTACGTCAGAAATCGACGGAAGATGCTCCAAATCAAGGCTTAACTCAATTTCCATGTACTCTGATAGTCCTATCACTGAAACAGAATAGAGGCGCTTATTGGGATACGAGTGTTTACCCAATAAGGGGGGGGGCTTATTTATAAAAATCTGATTCAAGGGGGTGGTTGTCAGAGAGGGGGCGCCTATTGGAACGCCAGAGCTAAACCGAATCATTACAGTAATTTATTTGTTAATTCATCCCCTTTTTTCCCGAGGAGGAACGGTGTTGAAAATTGGATTTTGCAAGCGATTTGTATCTTGTTTTATAAGATTACGTGGTCGATTCAAGTGATTTCTGAGATCGAAATTTGGCCCCTCGCGCTTTTAGTGCAGCAGTCGTTTGGAATAGAGCCCCTAATGATCTTTTCAAAGAGTCTACAAATCTCGAAAATGTTGAATTCTCAATTACAGTCAAGAATAAAGTCTTGGAAGTTCTGGGAATATTTTTGTTTCTTGCTTTAATATTTTCGTCGATGCTGTCATTTATATCGCAAAGACAAGTCTTATTTACGAAAAAACCGTGTTGGGTTTACCCGACTCAGAAAAGACCAAATTGATGATGATAAAACACTCGCTCCTTCTTTTTTCCCATGAACATCATTTTTTAAGAAAAGCGGGAGCTAAGGAAAATAATTCTTTTGTTTCCTGTCCGTCCACTGCCCCATGCTGTTTTCAGTTGTCTTTCTCTTGTCGCCAGAGAGCACCATCAAACTGAGTTCAGAAACAATCCTCCAGCCGGTTTA